CCTCCACGTCCATCCCCTTGCTGTGGTTCTAATGATTTCCAGAGTCCCCAAAAGGGGAGATGGGGCTACCATTCACACCGAGAGTACCCAGGGATAGGTGGGGAGCCCTCAGGATGGTCCTGTGTTATCCTAGAACCAATAGGTTCTGATTTACCAAAGGAAAGACTGTGGTCCTGCCACCGAGGGCTCAGTGGGGTAAGCACGGCCACGGCTGGCCAGCCTCCTCCCTCCTTGGCCTCTTGAGATGCCTGCATTCCAAAGAGCAGACGGTTTGCACATGTGCAGTGTGCTCCAGGACTTGGTTACCCCGAAAAGCACCTGCATCCTCTACCCAAAGATCACTGCACCACAGCCCTGTTCAAACCATTGATCATCAGCCCTGAGCACGTACCAGCTACACCTGAATCACTGCTGCTTCTCTCTGTTAGCAGTTCTGAGTTTTCACTAGTGAAGGGGCGGCCAACGTTGTTGGGAGGTTTTCCAATGGAGAACCAAACTCAGAGGCTCATCTCTAAGGAATAACAGGTGGGGAAGTTGAGATTGGCCTTTGTTGTTAGTCTCTCATGTTCTGTCTCCCTTTGATATTTCCCACTCATTTTTTTTTCCTTTCCCCTTTATTCCCTTTCACTGTTTTTTTATATTCCTCAAATGAATGAGGCCATATAATGTTTGTCTGATCCAAAGCTGTTAAGTTTCTATTTGGGGGGGCGATGCCTGGGTGGTGCAGTTGGTTAAGCATCTGCCTTTGGCTCAGGTCGTGGTCCTGAGGTCCTGGGATGGAGCCCCACATCCGGCTCCCTGCTCAGTGAGGAGACTGCTTCTCCTCCCTCTGCTCCCGTGCTCCCACTCTCTCTTGCTTGCTCTCTATCTCAAATAAAATCTTAAAAAAAAAGTTTCTATTTTTTCAAGGCACAATGGAAGTTATTTAGTTCAAATATTAGCAGTAAGAAGTAATATCGCACCCCTTTCTTTGAAATACTTGACTTTGTTGCAGACAACAGTTTTCCTTTCTGAGATCAGAAGGTCTTGACTGGGGGGCTCAGAGGTTTAGTGCTGCCTTCAGCTCAGGTCGTGATCCTGGAGACTCGGGATCGAGTCCCACATTGGGCTCCCTGCATGGAGCCTGCTTCTGCATCTCTCATGAATAAATAATCTTCTTAAAAAAGAAGGTCATGACTGTATTCATGCATTTATCTGATAGCCATTTCCCTTGAAGGATTTTGCTTCCGTCAGAATTAGCCCTCTGTAGCTTTTCTTTTTCCATGTTTCTGATGACCTGTTTTGAAATTCTTATGGAATTCAAATTTTATCCCTTTCCAAATATGTAATTCCCTTCTCCTACAGTAAAGAACTTGGCTCTCATTATTCTTATATCCTTATCCTTGTATCCTTATATATCCTTATCAGATATCTCCTTATCTGATATTCCTATATCAGCCTGTGTAGAACTAATTTTTGATCTTCAGCCCCACCCTGCCAATGTGTGGATACTCTTTGTTTGGGGTCTGACTCCCTATTCTAGGCTCCACTTGGACACCCTCCTCACTCAACTCTGCCTCTGAATTCCCAGACCGACCAGCCCACACATGCAGATGCCCCCATGACCCTTCTTGGTCTGTAAAGGAATGCCCTCCTCTCCCTGCCCTGGCTTTGATTTCCCACATCAGGCTGTCTCTTGCCTGAAGGTCTTCCTCACCCCTTGGCTGTGAGGCCGCCCCTCCCTATCATATGGGTGCCTTAGTCACTCTGCTTGGAATTGACATCTCATTCGAGGTTCTCTTGTACTCTTTGCCCTCCCCTATTGGGCTCTCACATCTGCTCTGGTCTATTGTTCCTCTTTACCCCTACTATAGACACCTGCCTTGTTCTTCTTCAATGGACTTTAGGACTGAAATTTTCAGGAAGGGAAGGCTTCAGCTAAGTTGTTCAAAATATGAGGAAATAGAAGTTCAGAAGTTTATGTGGCTTGTCCAGGGTCACAGAGCAAATTTGAGACAATGTACAATGTCAGTACAAATTCAGGCATTCCCGAGTGTAAGCTGTGTGAGGGCGGGAACCTTGTCCACTCTATCATCCTCAGTACCTAGCACAATGTCTGCATTGAATAGAACAAATAAATAAATGAATTATACTCTGTTGAGTTCTTTTCTTTTTCCTTTTTATTATCTTGATAGATGTGTGTGTGTGTATATAAAATTGATGCCAATATATTTGTCTATAACCAAATTCATGCTCTTATATAAATGTCAATATCTAAGTATCTGTGCCTAGGATTTCTTCTATTCCATAAATTTCTAGAGTTCCTAGCTGGATAGTTGGCATGTTAATGAAAATATAAAAGTACTAAGAAGCTACAGCCATTGTGACATCCCAGGATTCCTGCATTTCCATTGAGTGTGGAAAAGAAAATGTCTGAGCACCACCAAAATCAGTTTTTCAGTCACCAGACTACAGCCCCTTCAAAATATTTGAAATACTACCAGGGAAAAATACCATCACCATATGGCAGACGTGGGACCCATGATCAGTTTCTTCAGTCACTCTGCTCAACCTAGTAAGGTTGATCATGATCATGGAAGGCAGTGGCTTCAAAACATGTTCTGAAAGATTGCTATCTCTGAGAAATTCTTCTGGAGAAGAGGATTCTATGGTCAACATTGGAAACTTGACAATTCACAATGTATGTGAGCATATTAAAGGCTCTAAGAAACTCTAGAGTTGAAGAAAACTATTACCATTGTGTAAACTAATATCACTCAAATTTCCTTAACCACGGAGCTCTTGTTTAGAGTAATATCCGTCCAAGTCTCATTTCCTCATTCATACAATGGGCAAAAATACCTGTTATGTGTGAGTAATCGTACAGAATAAATGAGACAAAGATACAGAAAATGAATAGCACAGTGCTTCTAGGCACTTCATAAGAGCTACTTCCTTTTCTTATACATTATGAATTTTAAATGGTTCCTTTTATTTTTGAAAGAATAATAGATGTATTATTATTATAATGGAAAAATATTAAATGCATAAGGTAAAAACATCAAATCACAAAAGGAATGTAAATGAAAAATGCATTTCTTAGATCTCTGAGATTCGCAAGAAGAGTTTTTTTATGTACCCTTCCAGACACTTTCTGTGCATATACAGGCAGACATCTCAGAAATGGATTTTTAAAAATCTATTCACAGCAAATGAAACAACGAATTCACATTTGTTTATTTTGTGCTGCTGCAGCATTACCTCTAAGTTCTTCCATTTTGGGGTACATCGATTTGTTTTTCTGAAATCCTTGGATGGGGTAAAAGTTAGAGGCCGTGTTCATATCCGCTGAAGCTGTATTTTGATAGAAGATTATGGACAACAGGGGAAATATATAGTTGTTTGGGGGTTGAAAAAAGTCAGCTTACATGTGTCCTCTTTTATTTTTTTATTTTTTATTTATTTTATTTTTTGAAAATATTTTATTTATTTATTCCTGAGAGATACAGAAAGACAGGCAGAGACAGGGAGAAGTCCTCTGTGGGGATCTCGATGCAGGCAGGACTCGATCCCAGGACTCTGGGATCAGGACCTGAGGCGAAGGCAGATGCTCAACCACTGAGCCACCCAGGCGTCCCTAAATGTGTCCTCTTTTATAAAATCTTTCTTAACCCACCGGGAACAGGACTTTGAGGTGAATAATCATTCATTCGAATATTCAGTTAAGAGTGGAGAGGGGAGAGGGGAAAAGAGCATGAGAGCCTGGGCAAGAGAGCTGAAGCTTCAGGGAAACCAGCTTACACTGACCAGGATGTGAATTAGTCTGCTAGATTAAAAAAAAAAAAAATTAGTCTGTTAGAGCTGCTGTAACAAAGTACTACAATTGAGTGACCTAAGCAACACAAATTTATTGTCTTACAGTTCTGGAGGCTAGAAGCCCCAAATCAAGGTCTTAGCAGTGTTGGTTCCTTCTGAGGGTTCAGAGGGAAGGCTCTGTTCCAGGCCTCTTTCCTGGGCGTGAGGTTAGCCATCCTCTCCCTGTGTTTCTTCCTAAATTCTTGCCTTTGCGTATCTCTGTGCAAATTTCCTCTTTTTCTTTTTTTTTTTTTTTTAAGATTTTATTTATTCATGAGAGACACAGAGACACAGGCTGAAGGAGAAGCAGGCTCCCCGCAGGGAGCCCGATGTGGACTCGGATCCCAGGTCTCCAGGATCACACGCAGGGCTGAAGGGGTCGCTAAACCGCTGAGCCACTCGGGCTGCCCACAAATTTCCTCTTCTTATTAAGGACACTAGTTTCATTGGTTTAGAGCCCACTTTAACGACCTCATTTTAACTTGCTTACCTCTAGAATGACCCTATTTCCAAATAAGGTCATATTCTAGGTATGAGGATTTAGGACTTCAACACAGGAATTTTTAGGGGGACACAATTCAGCTCATAATAGGTGGTCATAATACTGGGATTTGGTGCTTTACCAAAATTCACCCTGTGCTAGTAAAACCCATATACCAACTGCAGCTTTCAAAATGTGGGCTCCTTTAAAAGAGTGCAAATTCTGGAATCATGTGTATGTCAACTGCTTAAACCTCTTGTTGATAAGAGGGAATCTGTGTGGCTTGAAGCACCTGTTAGTTTACCTCTGTGAGGTCCCCCTACAACCAAAGTGTAAGAAGATGACTTGGTCTCTTTTATTATTATTATTATTATTATTATTATTATTATTATTATTTTGCTCCCTTCCCCAGTGTCTTGCTTATCTGGACATTTATACTTTGACCCTATTAACTATTCCCTCCCCTTTCTCCTTTATTACCCTGAGTTATCTTCTCTTCCCATAATTCCAACTTCTTTTTTTCATGTTCCCATTCAGCGAAGGATGAGGAAATTGCAATGAGAGCATGTACCTTTTATTAGATGATTCAAACTGCAGCCTGCCTTGATTAACCTGAAAAGTCCTAAGAAATGAGGACTTCTGCCTCATAGATCACTGAAAGGAGGAATTATTTTTATTTTTTAAGGATAGCTTCTGATTACACTTGGCTCGAGAAGAAAGAAGCTAGTTGTTTTTCAGCCAGTAGTGGATTTGTGGTTTGGCTTTCCCATGGCTTCCTGCCGTGCGTGTGACCTCAGGGTGCTGGTGGTCATTGCATGTGGACTGGTGACGATCATCATTTTGGCCCTGGGCATCTGGATGACTGTGATTACGGTCCAGAAAGGTAAAATTTATGTTTAATTATGTTGTGTTTATCTTTTAGTTGCTATGTTTAACTCAGATCAAGAGAAGGTATTGAGCCCTCGTTCCTCACACCTGACACACCAGGGACTGCAAATGGCCATGTCTGGGCTGAGGCTGCCCACCATGTATGTATTTCATATATGAAATACAACAGGTAAGGGGCAGCTGATGCCTTGCATATGGTTGTACACACATGAATATGAATATGTGTGTATGAGTGGGCAGGGTGATGAATTAATTACATAGTTTAATTAGCCTCTTCTTGCTCTTTTAACTCCTGATTGGATAATGGCATGATTAAAATCACTCATAACACATGTTTGGGTTTGTTTAGCTAAATCCAAGAAAGATAAATGATGATGGACCCACACAGACATACACACATAACCAAACACACGCAGAATGGAATTTCATCTCAAGGAGAGAGTTTAGGAATGTTCTCACTAGGATTGTAACTAAAACCTGATGGTTTGTGCGCAAAGTTCTCACCTTCCAAGTGTTAAAAACTACTCAAAAATTAAGATTCCTTAGAAAATGTTTTTTTTCTGGTTTTGAATAACCAAGTATTTGTTAGTAAACTGCTGTGTGCTAGAGCTGACACTGGAAGGTGGGACGGAGGGCAATGATGTGTAAAACAATGATGTTAGAGGAAAACTCCCAACAAGGAGTTTCTATAATCCCAGTGCTGGTTCCCTTGGGCAGCAGAGGTTTCAAAGCTGGAGGTGCTGAGTATTCCCTTTTGTAATAAACAGAGAAAAATTCTAATAAAACTGAGTAAATAAGGGTAAAAAATACCAGTCGAGAGAGCAGAAGGCGCAGTGGTCTACCCTCGAGAAGGTAACTGAGGAGGATAGAAGGTTGGGGGAGCCAGCACAAGCACCTACATGTCGGCAAAGTTGCACTGCTGGGGACAAAAGAAGTCAAATATATTTAGCTGTGGAAAGAGTGGTAGCTGAGAAGGGATCTAATCATCCTTCCCTCCCTCTCACCCCCGAGAACATTATTTAGAGAATATTGTACTAATAGGATTTGGATAAATAGCAAGGGAAAATATCCCAGAACAAAATGATAAATTTAAACTTGAGAAAAATGTGTTTTCATTTATTTTATTTGTCCATTTAAGTTTTGTTTATGATTCAAAAAATTAAAAAATTTTTTAAAAAATAAAAATAAATAAAAATAAACAATTTAAAAAATTATGAACGACAGATTTTACCCTATTAAGGCTGTTGAGTTTATAATATCTTTTTTAAAATTTTTTATTTATTTGAGAGAGAGAGACAGAGAGACAGAGATCATGACAGAGATAGCAAGAGAGAGCGTGAGCAGGGAAAAAAGGGAGGAGAAGCAAGCTTTCTGCTGAGGAGGGACCCTGATACCGGGCTCGATCCCAGGACTCTGGGATCATGACCTCAGCCAAAGGCAGACGCTTTCCCCACTGCGCCACCCAGGTGCCCCATGATACCTTATTTAAATAGTATACTTCTAAGAAATCTTTCTTTTCTTCCCTTCTCCCTCCTTTCCTTCTTTATATGACATCTACTTTAAAAGGGAATTTTGTGGTGACTAGGAAAGGACACAGGTACAGTAGAACCATAAAAACAAGGACCGAAGCATAAAACATTATAAGGAAGGAAACAGAGAGAGTTGCTGAAAGTAAATACAAAACATAATCCCTGAGACATATCTTTAAACTTCCTGAGGCCTAAGACCCCAAATGAAGCATGATAAGCAACCAAAACCCCTTATTCAATGGTAAAAGCATACCAGCTCCTTAAAAGAAAGAAAGAAAGAAAGAAAGAAAGAAAGAAAGAAAGAAAGAAAGAAAGGAAAGAAAGAGACAAATGTGTCCTTGCTCTGGATCTTTCTTAAAAATTGATTTATTTGCTTGCAGTTTCCACACAATGTTATATTCTTACATTAGTGTCAGGTGTACGACTGATTTGACAAGTTTATGATTTCTGCTTATTTCATTTAATCCCAACAACTACCTTTGAGGCAGTTATTACTATATCCAGGGTACAGATGGGGAAACTCAGGCTCAGACAGTGTCGTCAAGCTTACATAGCTAGAGAGTGTTGGGTCTGGATTCAAATCTAGAATTTTCTGGCTTCAGTATCTTGCTCTTCCCTCTCACCTATCCTGCCTTCCTAGAGGGAAGATAAGAGTAACTCAATGAATTAATTCATCTCTCCTCTCTCTCTGAGGCAACTCTGCCTGAAAATGCCACTTCACAAAGATATGCAGTAACCAGTAGAAACCCTTGCTAGGCAAACGTAGGCACTTTGGGAAGTCACATGTTTGTCTTCACGTCGATGAGGTCTACATTATTAACATGGCTCAGAGAGTATAGGTTAGTGTGTTCACTTTTAAGGTTTTCTGAGTCTTCAAATGGTGTTTATAGACTTTCGGAGTAACTGCTATAGCTTTGCCACATCCTTCCACGTTTTGCCAAAGTGTTCTTTCAGCTTTGCAAGGCTACAGGATGGGCTGCCGTTGATCTCGTCTAGGACAGCAGGAGAGCCTGCGTTCCATCTGGAGAGCGCTCATGGTCTAGCAGTCTTGCTCCTGGTGACTGCCCTTAAGGGAAGGATTTCTCACATTCACAGAAGCTCCAACATCTACTGACCATCAAACAAACCATGAATGATCTTATCTCTGCCTAATTATTCCAAATGTAATTATTCATTAACAAGAAAAAAGAATCATTGGTTTAAACATCAAACGAGTGCTTCAGGACATGGCCTCTAGAATGGCAGTGATCTTCTGTGTAGTATAGAAAAACTTCTTACTCTGTTCCTGCTGCTGAATAAGGCCTCTTGCAAAGGGGCATGGTTCAAAGCTTTAGTCCGGATGAAGTTGATAGCATTTCATGCAAGTGGACACGACTTCTCTCAGAATTGGTGGAACAGACTTTGGCATTTTTATGCCGCTGATGAAAATGTTAAATAACAATGATTTTTTTTCACCAAAGCGTCACAGTGAGATATGTTGTCAAGTCACACTTTTCCACCTAGGCTTTCAGGAATAAGATAGTTTCGTTTGGTAAAGATATTTTTCAAAACTATTGATGACTCTTGCAATTTCCAAAAGGAGCTCAAGACTTGAAGTTCTTCTCTGATGATGTCATTTGTTGGAACACTCTTCATCCAGAGTTTCACATGGCTGTCGCTTTTGAAGATTTAGGTCTTAGGTTAAATGCCACCTCCTCAGAGAGACCTTTTCTATCCACTCAGTCTAAGGTTATCATTCCATTTGCTCTCTTTCACGTGTATTTTGTTCATGGCTTTTATCACCTGATGATCTCTTACTTATTGGTTTGCTCTCTCCTCATTCTCCTAGAATGAATGTCCCAAGAAAGCAGGCACCTGACTTATTAATCTGCATTCCCCGCACCTAGAAGAGTACTTGGAATATAGTTGCCAGTACATAGCTGATGAGTAAATGAAAGAATCATGTGAAAACCAGAAACTGGACTAAAAGTTGTCAAATATTTGTATTCAGAAGTGAAAGAATATAGTGACCAATTTCTTGTAATTTGCCTCCAAATATTAAAGTGAATGTTATTATGGATTTGTTTTCAGCAGTTAAGCAAGACATCATTTTAGTTTTCATCCTCTGTTCCAAGCCATGTAACACCCTAACCATTTCCAGAACTTTGGCTTCAGTAAGATCTCTCCAGTTGTGTATGGCCTCTTTAGTTTGGCTGTGTCATCAGTAATCTTGAACGATGCTTTTATGTTGGAGCAACAAAGTTTTACCAGACCTCTAACCTTTTTCACATTAGGCATTCTTCGTAGAATATCAAATAAAATGCACCCTATCTGATGTGTTTTCAGAATGGACAACAGTAAGGTGCTCTATCTCCATTGGATTTGTGCTCCCAATAGCAATGAACCTTGTAATACAAGAAGCAGTGTGGTTTTTTGGTCCAATCACATTTGATGAAAGTAAAATGAAACATAATTAAATTTTTATGTACATCTTTCCCTTGACATTTTCCAACTTGAGCTAGGCCTGACGTAAATGTAGATATATGTCCATAAACCTGGTAGTAGGGGTTTTCCTTAACTCTTAGGGAGACTATCTTAACCTCATAACATAGTAGCATTGATGGTTATGCCTTTGTTGAACCATATCCTAGGTCTCTTCTGGATTATAAAACTTCCTCCTTTCTGCCTTTCTGCCTCCTTTCTGATGAGTGCCTTTTCCACCCGTCTCTGGTTGCTCTGACCTTCATTTCCTATCACAGGCTTCACGCATGCCTCAGGCCAACAAAAGACTTAAGTAGAAACCCAAGGTCAAACTTCAAGCATTGAAATTCTTGCACAGTAGGAAATGTGGGTTGTGGGGAAAGGTCAAGGAGAGTTTATTGATTCTCAGAAAATAATTTGTACACAGATGCTTAACTTTCATTTTACTCCATTTCAGTACTTCCTCAAGAGGCAAGCTTGATAATAAATCAAACTCATGGGACTGCTCCTGGAGTACAGGTTGTATTTGGAGGCTCAAAAAAAAAAAAAAAAAAAAAAAAAAGGTCCAGATGGAAAAGTTTGGGTTTTAGACAGCTGTAGTTTTATTTAGTCTCAATCCTGCTGTCATAAATCACTATTCTGCTCCTTTACCAGTCTCCCTTATTGCTTCCTCAAATAACCACTCTCTCAGTCAAGAAAACAATTACTATGAAAGGGAAGGGATTTGTTTTGGGAGGAATAAATTTTGTTTGTAATTGGCTGAAGGGCATGAATTATTTTAACATCAGTGATGTTTAAATTGCTGATACCATTTTCAAAGTCACTTTATTAAATTAAGAAGCTAGAACCTTGGCTTAGTGGATTTCTCCTTGATTTCCAGGTATTGGATATTTTTACTTAAAATTCTGAATACAAATGCCATCTTTTGATCTTTTGATAACATATGTTATTGGAGAACATCTAGTATAGAATATGGTGCTTTGGAGTGTGCACATGAGAATCGGGG